AACACTTTAAACTAACATTATTATATTCTATTTAGACGCCTAAGGAAATCTTTACTATTATAAAGTAAGCCTTTAAAGAAAGTAACGCACTACACTAATAATATACTAAGGCGGCCTACGCCGCCTTACGCTAGAGTGACTAACTATTTAACGCTTTCTAGGCCGACTTCACGTATTTAGCATTACAGATCAGCAAGTCTAGCTAGGATCAGTATAAGGACCTACAAAAAAAGATGTCTGCTGAACTCCTTTGCAAGATAAGGGATCAGACTTTCTACAACGCCAGCACTATGGCTTATTAAGTTATAAAGCAAGAGAACCAGCTCATACTAATTTGTAGAAAAGAGAGAAAAGAAGAGCGAATCTGCAACTGTGCTCGACCCAACAGCCTAAGGCCTGATACCAGGCGCCCAGAAGCTAGGACTACGCCAGGTAAGGCGTATCCGTTCCCTTTGGCCCTGACAGCAGGCCTATTATGACGCTCTCTTACTCCTTCTCCCGGCTAGGCTACTAGTTCAAAATCAAAGCGTGTAGGTTTTAAGAAGAATAATATGGTAACTTGTTTCTACTACAACAAGCCTAGCTATATAAAACCTGACTGCCCTGACCTTTATGTTAGTAAGATTAAAGAGGCAGAATCTAACTTTAGAGATAAGTCCTCTAGCCTTAATAAGGAATCTGTAAAGTCAGAAAACAAGATGCCCTAAGTAAAATTATAGCCTTAGGCTATTATAAGAGCGTACCTGTTAGGCTCGACTAGCTTATTAGAAGGCCATCTCTTATTATAGCATTTAATCTTAAGAGTACAGATAATAAGGTTCTTTATCTTTATACTTTAGTAGATAATAAAGCTAACATATATATTCTAATTAATAAGAAAATTACTTAAGCTGCCCTTTAGCAGCTTAATATCTCTTTTGTTTCTTTAAAAAAGGCTATTTTACTAATTAGATTTAACAATTAGTCTAACAGGCCTATTAATAATCTGCTCCTTACTACTATATAAATCTATAGCTAAACTCTTACTAATATCCTGCTCTTAGCTGCTAACCTTAGCTCTTATAATATTATTCTAGGCTACAAATAGCTAGCTAAGCATGATATCTTGCCAGATTATAAGAGGAACAAAATATACTAGCTAAAGGACTACTAAGTACAGAAATAGTATAACACTTATAAAGATAGGCTATTTAAGGAGGATATTTAACATTATAACCTTAAAGTCAGCTCTGATAATACTAGCAAGGCTAGGACTTAGTTTCAGAAATCTATATAAGAACAGTATTAGCATTATTAATATCGTAAAACGGAGCTTAAGTTATCTCTCTTTGATAAAGCTGACAAGAGCCTTAGTCCTGACTCTGATCTAGATAAGGCTAATACTGATAATAGGACGACCTTTATAAATCTTGTAGGCGCTGTAATCTTTTATGTTAGTAACAAATAAGACAATACGATATTAGGGACAGTTACATTAAATAATATTAATTATAAGCTGCAGAAATAAGGCTGCCCTGCCCTGTGCTAAGTTAGTCAAGTTTAGATAGCTGATGATAACGAATAGGATGCTCTTAGTAACCTTAGACCTTGTTCTAATGATCTTAAGTCTATCCTTAGCCATCTTCCTCTGTATCTCTATGACTAAGCAGCCACCTTTTTAAGAGTAGCTGCAGATACTCTGTCTTAGCACTGTCTATTTAATTACAAGCTACGCTTTAATAAGGAATTAGAGATAAAGGCGTTACATCTGTATAAGATATTAACTTAAGAGCTTATAATTATAAGAGAGTATCTAATAAAGAACTTATATAAAGAATTTATTTGCTTATTATCTTCTTCTTTCTTATTATCTATTTTATTTATTAAGAAGAAGAATAAAGACCTTAGATTCTGTATTAACTACAAAAGTCTAAATAAACTTATAAAGAAAGATAAATATCTTTTGTCTTTAATCTTAGAGACTCTGTTATAGTTAGCTTGCGTAATAATCTTTATAAAGCTTAATATTTATTATGTATTTAATTATATTAGAATAGACCCTAACTTAATCTATTAGGCGTTATTCTAAATAATGTACAAAGCTTTTAAGTTAGTAGTCCTTTTCTTTAGTCTTTATAATAATTCTGCTACCTTTTAGTATTATATTAACTTTATCTTTATAGATTATTTTAGCATCTTTTATATAATATATATTAATAATATCTTAATCTTCTTAAAGAATAAGAAAAAGTACTAATAATATATATATTAAATTATAATAAAGCTATATATAGCTAGTTTATATATAGATATTAAGAAATGTAAGTTTAAAGTTACTTATATTATATTCTTAGATATATAATCTAATTAAAATAAAGAAAAAAGAAGAATAAAAAACTATATTTTATATATAATATAGCTATTATAAATATCTTATTGCCCTCGGTGAGCTTGCACTAAGCAGCTATCAGTTATTCAGACAGCTAGGATATAGATTTCTATCTTCTCGCGGTATCTGGTGTGAGTAGTCGCTGCAGCGATGAAACCAAACGAAATCCAGATAGCGGTGTGGGTGAACGCGTGCGCTGCGTACGCAAGTCGCCTGCGCGCATCAAACCAGGGGAATTGGCTTACGAAAACCATCCGACTCTTAAGTATCTGACTCGTACTCAGACCTGAAACTGACTCTACTATCAGTGGATGTGATATCGTTTTATTTGAGAGACAAGACACCCCTGTGCTTGTCCCCTCCTGAGATCACGCATTGCGCGTATAGATACAGCGACTCACTAGCGAGAAGAGGGAAATCCTTCGATACAAACAAATAAATAAGCGTTTATCAACCCTTATTAAGGCCTATAGTCTTTAGTATAAACAAATTTATTAAGACCTATAGGCCTTATTAAGGCTAGAGCCATAGGCTATACCCTTAGGAATCACAGGCGAATCGTCCTATACAAACAACTATATTATATTTACGAGCTTCGGCTTCTGCAGGTGGGATCCTAGCTGACTGGCGTACAGTGATCTGTCGTATGTAGCATGGCAATATCAATTGCATGGCTTCGTCACGAATTCCATTATCATTGTCAGCATCCTGCACGCAGTCTACGCCTTGGATTTCTTTATCAACGAAGATTGGTAGTGCAAGCATATCGAGAAGCTGCAGAATTAGACTGACATAATTCAGGTACCTCCGCACCATTGATATCTGTCATGATCATTTCGAGCCCGAGAGGACAGTATGCGCGTGTCAGTATATAAAGAGTCTGGGCCAGCTATCTTACTCGTACTAAGAGCCTGCGAGGAGTATGCGTTTTGCATACAAGTCAAAGCGATATTGTTCTAGCTGGATGCCGGTGCTATATGCTTAAGGAGTAAACTACAATTAGAGCGTGGGCAAGGGCTTCGTTTACCTGAACCCTGAAGCATCTCGCCTTGAACAGTAGATGCTGGAAAGCGTGGCAGAGACCCGGTAAAGGGATGCGAACTCTACGTTATACTATTTTATAAGGAAAAGCTACCTTAGTCAACATAGAATAGTATAATAAAATTGTAGGCTAAAGCGTACGATCTGCTCTCTGATACTTAATATAGCGCACGTATAGGTTGATCTACAGAAACAGCACTTCAACAGATCACAGAGAAAATTCATACGATCTAGGGAAGAGGAAGAAAAAGGATAGCTAGCCTCCTATTATTAGACGTCTCTAAAGTATTTGATAGAGTCTTACATGCTCAGCTTACTCACAACCTGAGAAAGAGAAGAATCCCAGAATCACTCATACAATAGGTGACAGATTTCCTCTTAAATCAACGTACGGAAGTGAAAATCAATGACTTCATGCTACTAAAAGCATCAGTAATAGTAGGAATCCCTCAGGGATCACTAATCTCTCTGATTCTGTATCTCTTCTATAATGCAGACCTCTTAGAAAGCTGCAAGAATATCCGTCTTTATACAAGCGCTAATAGGCTTTATAAATAATATTAATATTCTTATATACAGTGAAAGCACAGAATAAAACTATCTAAAGCTAGCAGAAATTTACAAGAAGTACTAATTATAAGCAGAAAAGCATAGATCCAAATTCTGCCCTGACAAATATAAACTTATATACTTTAGTTATACGAAGAAGAATTTTAATATAATAGCAGAAATCAAACTAGAAGACTAGAGCATAGACCCTAAAAGCGATATCTATATCCTAGGAGTAAGACTGGACTTAGCGCTGAGATAACAAGCATATATATAAGTAGTTGAAGCAAAATTAGTCTATATAATTAGTGCTCTATATACAATTATAGGCTTGATATAAGGAAGCTCCTTAGAGATAAGTAAGTAAGTTTACAAGACTACTATTTGCTTGGCGATCACGTACGCGGCTAGCATATAGCACATCTCTTATAGGGTTAAGGGCCACTAAAAAGGAATTAGAGCGAAACTCCAGAAAATTTAAGGAAAGTGCCTTTGTATAATCGCTAGAGTATATAAGGCTATCTCAACAGAGGCTCTAGAGATAAAGACTTTCACCCTACTACTAGATCTCTACACCAAGAGACTAGCGATTAGAGTGATCGCCAGAATCCGTATAACAAAAGCGGCAACTAGCATCAAGGAAATGTGCAAACGAATCTGCAGACAAACGACAGGCAAGAGAGGGAGAACAGCAATCCCTCAAAGCTCCCCGGCAGATCATACGAACACGTGGGCAAACAAGTTCACATCTGAACCCCAGGAGGCTCAACAGACAAAGAAGAACGTGCCTCTATAGGAAAAGAATCAGGAACAACGCCACAATAAGAGACTCTCAAGATTGTACGAAGGACTCACTTCGCATTACAACGAGAGATGGAAAGATCGCTAGAAATCCGGCAAGAAGGGTACTCACTTAAGGAACCTGTGGTCACACCTAACAGAACGCATAACAGAGGCACACATAGGAATCAAGAAACATGAAAGCGCCTTACTAACACAGCTTTGTACAGGCAAAATAGGCTTTAACGCCTTCTTATACGAAATGAAGGTCCCCGACATCTTGAGTCCGAATTGCGACTGCTCAAGAGGAGAAAGCATGACAGTAGAACATGTTCTACTGAATTGCCCAAAGTGGTCTACAGAGAGAGAAGAGCTCATACACCCTCTTCGTACGACCGACATCAAGAAAATCCTGACCTCTAAGAGGGGAGCGAAGGCAGCCATCAGGATGATTCAGCGCACGAAGATCCTAGACCAGTTCAAGAGGGTCGTTGATCAAGACATAGAACAACGACCGCGGGACGAGAATCGAGAAGAGGGGGAGGAGGCCAGAACGAAGGAGGAGGAATAAGAGCAGAAGAGAGTAAGAAAAGTTATATAAGCAGACCTATATAGGCTCTTTAGTCTAGATTAAGTTAATAGAATTTACTATTACTAATAAAATAATATACCTTTTTTCTTTATATTCCTTAAAGTATTTATATTATATAATAAAAAGTATTTCTTATAATAAAAATTACTTAAAAAATAATTTCTAAAAGTTAAAGTTAAAGTAAACTTATTTAAAGATTACTTATTCTTATATTATTATAAAGATTATAAGTTTAGAAGAGACTTGTATAAATAAATAACTATTAATCTAACCTTTGTAATTATAGTACTAAGATAGTAACTAATATAATATAGAGTAGAACTAAAGATAAAATAAGTGTCAGATTATCTCTTAATTTATACAGAGTTTAAATAAGGCAATATAGATCTACTAATTAAGCTATCTTTAAAAAGAGTGTAAAAGAATCTTGATACTAAGAAATTCTGTAAACTTCTAAATCTTTATATAGAGGACATAAACTAATACTTCTTGATATTATAAGAAATAATTAATTAATTTATAGATAAGTTGATAAAAGTTATCTTAGAAGTCGCGAATAACTTAACTCTTTAATTAAGACTAAGTCAATAGAGTAAGAGCTACTAGACAAAAGATTATCAAACAGTAATAAAAACAACTAGAATCGCACAAAGACAATTTACTCTGAATCTATGTCTTGAAACGTGGCAAGAGTTTGTATGAACCCGAAGTCGAAAAGACAAGATACTAGATAAAGCAAAAAGAGATGAATTCCGAAACGTGATGTAAGAAGCTGGCTTTAAGCCAAATGATATCTGGAAGATTATATAATAGGCAAAACAACAATCCTAGAACTAAATTATACAGGTCTTATTCCTAACCCTTAAGCAAGGCTTATACAAAGCAAGAGATGCAGAGTCTAAAGCAAAACTGCTATAAGATACAAGCTTCCTGAGTAAAACTATTAATCTTTATATAAAAGAGACCCTTAATTCTTTAATAGATTATATATTAAGAGGAAGACCTTAAAAAAAGCCTATTACTAATTAAGACATTAAATCAAATTTAGCTATATTATATATAGTTAACTTAATTAATTAGGTATTTCTTATATTAATAATAAAAGAAATCAACTTATTAATAAAGGCACTTATTAAAATATTAATTAAAGTTCCTTTTGTTAAACGGGTATACGGATTAGGAACAGCTATCGACACTATCAACAGTCACAACTTGCATGCAGAGTGAGATTAAGCTTAAGTTATTAATATTAGCTTATTCTTAAATAGATAACTAAACAAAAATTATTAACTAGATTATTAATATAAGGCTTTAACTATTTATAAACTACTTCTAAAACAACTAGGCATATCTTTTATTAGCATTAGACGCTACAGGGTCAGCTCTAGTCTACAAATCTATAGGACTTATACCTTATATAGTTAAGTACAGCTAAGAACCTTACTTAGATTTCGACTAGATGTAGATAAGTGACAGCTCATATTAGGACGCGCAAGAACAAGCTACTTAAGAGCAAGTAAAGAAGCACTTACGCTATATTAATAAGGCAGTAAGCTAGGCCAGAATAAATATAACCTTAGCTTAAGCTTAGCATGCTTATTAAGCTAATAAGAAACTATATTTATTATTAAGAAGCTATAAAAAATAGATAAGCTCTTAGACAAGCTAGACTATTCTGTTATAGGCCCCTTTTATATCTTAGAGATAATTAGTTACTCTTATAAGCTAGAGCTCCTGTTCTTTTATTATATCTCGCTAGTGCTATACACAGACTAGCTACGTAAGGCAAATAATAATTCTTTCCCTAGCTAGATCCTTACTTTACCTCCTGTAGTTAAAGTTAACAAAGACCTTAAGTAGGAAGTTAAGAGAATTCTGTTGTCAAGAATTAGCAGAGGTCGGCTGGAATACAAGATATAATAGCAAGGATAGGACCCTAACGATATATAGTACCCTGCTAGCAACCTACAGAACGCTCCTCTAGCGTTACAAGCTTACCACAATGCGCACCTACAAGAAGCTGGTCCACCTAAGCGACTCCAGCACTGGCTTGACAGCGCTCTGCGAGATAAGTCACCTTCAGAGCACCTAGATGATAATAGAGCAGCCACTCAAGAAACTAGGAAAACAAGGCGACGCGCATTATAATGCCGTCAGCTTGATCTCGTCACCGGCTCAAACACCGCTGACTTGACCGTGTGTTTCCTTGCTATTCTGTGGATCTTCTTCTATTTATATCTCTCTCTTTAGATACTAGTAACTGTGTGGCAGGAGGATATATTAGGCTAGCGTGCTGTGCTGTTGTGCTGTGCTTGTTTTGCTGTATGCTACTGCTGTGTGTTGCTACTGTTTTGTTTTTCTTCTTATTAGACATAAGGGCATGTCGAGTCTTCTAGAGGGGGGGTGATGTCACGGCTGCCATGCTTGTCGCCTGCTAGCGCTAGGGCGCCGGGTATTTAATTGGCACTAGACGTTAGTAAGGGGCATGCTTGTTATATAGAAGCGACCCTAGGGCCCTTACTGTCAACTCTCTAGTCTTAGGATAGCACTTAATATAGGCTGAAGATCTCGCGTATTTGTCGCCTGCTTCCAACGTAATACGTAATAATATTATTATTTATTAATAAAATTCTAGTTATTCTTTAGAGCTAATAATTATCCTAATAATTTATAATATGTAAACGCTACTTTTAATCTCAAGAAAATACAACCTCACCTTAAGAACGCCTGCTATAATAGCTGAAATGTTTTGCCTGTTAAGGGAATTATAAATGGCGGAACTGCCTTTACATTGAGGAGTATATAGAAGAGATCAGAGAGATTGTTGACAGGGCTTAAGTAAGTTGACGTAAAGAGAGCAAGCCAAAGACGAGAGTAGTCAAGGAAGAGTTGAGGGAGGATTGCAGAAAAGGCAAGAGTAATTAAGGAAGAGAGCATAAGTGCAGAAGACTTCTCTTCTAACTCTAAAGGCAAAGCAGAAGTCTATTTTGTAATACTAGAAAAGCTAACCTATAAGACTCTTAAGTAAATTATTAATACTAGTATATTTAATTATATAACTAACTAGCTTTCTCTCTTTAAAAGACTCTTAAAAAGAATTAAAGAAATAATAATAAATTTAGCAGACTTAAGGTTATATATTTAAGGGACAGGATATACCGACATATATATAAAAAAGTGGAGTAATAACCTTATTAAATATGTTATATATATCTAGTCTAGGCGCTAGCCTTTTTTCTAGCTCTTTATTATATAAATTAAGGCTTTTAAGCAGTTTTAATAAAAAGGCCTTATATATATAAGATTAGAATAATAATATAATCCTTAAAGCTATTAGATATAAAGGTCTTTATATTATTAATTAAATAAGTCCTAAAGTAATAAAGTCTGCTTATTCTATATAACCTATTTTAGTAAATTTAATTATATATAGTATAGCTAAACCTGATATATTACTAAAGCCCTTTACTCTGAAAAAGACTATAGTTTATAACGCTTTCTTTAAGCTACTTATTAATTATAATTAACTAATAGTCTCTAAGGAAGCTATAACTAATATTATAAAGAAATAATATTAATTATAATATAAAAGATTTACTTATATAAGAAAGAAGAAACTACAGAATTTATATATATATATATATATATTATTCTATTTAATGTCTGTTTAATCTCTATTTATAAGGCTATATAGATAGTTATCTAGCAAGGAAAAAGCCTAATAAGGAAAACCTTAGACTTACTAGACTAGATAAGCATAGCTATCGCAACAGAGGTCTAAGATTACCTTACAAGGCAAAGTTATAAATAATTCTAATTAAAGATCAAAAAGAAATAAAGAATTATCTTAAGAAGTAATATTAAAGTAAAGAACTTATTATAAAGACGAAGCTAAAGGTAATCTGAAGTAATAATACTAGAAAACTTAAATAGACTCTTAATAAATAGAGTTAATAAATAGGAATTAGTATGTAATATATTATCTTATATATCTTAAGTTAGAACAGATACTAAATACATAATTCAGATAACAGAAAACAACATCTAAGTAATATTAAAGGAATCTGAGTTATTACTTAAATTATAAGATGAAGCAGCAAAGACTAAGGCATACATTTATAACTAGACTATAATTAGCCTAAAGATAAATAAACAAAGAATCACCCCTAAGGAAGCTTAAACTAGGACAAAACTCTTAATTAATTATATCCGGATTTAGGAATACAAGTATTATTTATATATAAATCTAAAGTTACTACTAATATTAGAGAGACAAGATAAGCTAATAAACTAGGGCTGAATAAGAGTATTTATAGGATATAAAGAGAATATAATAAAGCAGTTTTATATTTATATATTAGATCTTAGATATATAACTTGTTCTTTAGTTATAATATTTAATAAACTTTAGAAGAGTAAAACTATTAATCTTTATATAAAAGAGACCCTTAATTCTTTAATAGATTATATATTAAGAGGAAGACCTTAAAAAAAGCCTATTACTAATTAAGACATTAAATCAAATTTAGCTATATTATATATAGTTAACTTAATTAATTAGGTATTTCTTATATTAATAATAAAAGAAATCAACTTATTAATAAAGGCACTTATTAAAATATTAATTAAAGTTCCTTTTGTTAAACGGGTATACGGATTAGGAACAGCTATCGACACTATCAACAGTCACAACTTGCATGCAGAGTGAGATCACAGTGCATCTGCACGTCAAGTGCAGATCCTGCTAGCGCACAGATCACGTGGTATTTCCTGTGCTAGTGGCACAGGAAATCCTGCACTATACCTGATTAGGAATAACCTGATCAGGCAATATTTGGCTGTACATGTACAGCCAAATAGTGCAGACTATAGTCTGCTGATTGGCATGCATTCTTAACACCTTTAATATTAAGTAGCTAGAAAGACAAGGAGATTATTATAATAAAAATAGAAAAGGATACTAAAAAACTAGGTCTTTAATAGTAAATAAATAGACTTACTAAAGCAAGACTATAAATAATAAATAAGTAAACTTAAGATAACAATAAGGACAAGTACTATAAATTATAAGATTAAAAGATCGCAAAAGCATATATAATACGTTAGTAAAAGATCCTAATTCTAATAATATATAAGTAGATAATTTTAGACCTTATCTTTAGCGCAGACTAGACTAATATAATTAAGTAAGAACTTATTATACTATAAGTAAACAGGACTTAGAAGCAAGTTATCTCTTTTGCAAGATCTAATATTATTATAAGTAAATAGATATTTAAAATTAAGTATATAGAGAATAAGGGAGTAAATTAATTTAAAGCCAGACTTATAGCTTAGGGTTTCTTATAAAGATATAGTATTAATTATAAAGAAACCTTTGCCCTAATAATATATATAGATTTCTTAAAGAGGAATACTACCAAATAGATGTTAATAATGCATTTACAGAATCTACTAATACAGAGATAATATATATGTCACCCCCTAATAGAGTCAACATACTAAATAAAATAGCTCTGCATGTGTTAAAAAGTTTATATAGTCTAAAACAAGCCGCTAGGGATTAATATAACTATATAGTAGCTAGCCTATTAAAACTTAGCTTTAAATTATCTCCTTCTAACTTATATATCTTTATAAATAATAAAGAAATAATTATTAATATTTAGGTAAATAACTTAGTAATTATTTCTTAATAACTCTCTAATATAATTAAATTTAAGAAAGACTTTGTTCGTATCTTTAAGATTAAGAATCTAGAGGAGATTAGAAGGATTCTTAATATAAGAGTAACTTATAATTACTAGTAAAGGACTCTATATCTAGACTAATTAACCTATATTAAGAAAATAATATCAGAACTTTAAATAAAAGAGGACAAGTATAGACTAATTAAGATACTAATTAATAGATATAACGCTCTAGCTTTACTATTAGACAAGGACAAATAAGTAGATACACACTAATACTAGAAGTATGTCAGAAGCATTATATATATAATGTCAAATACAAGACTAAATATTACATTTATAATAATAAAACTCGCCTAGTTTATATTAGATCTAACGAAGCGTTATAAATCTGCAGTAAAGCATCTTTTGAGATACTTGCGCTTAACAAAGGATATAAGAATCTGATATAGACTAGAAACCCTGTCTTTAGTAGGATATTCTGATGCAGACTATA